AGGGGGCCACCCCCTAGCGCAGCCCCGGCTGTTCCCCAAGCACAGGTCCCTCCACCGGCACGAAGGCCTCCACGCCACGGCTTCCCTCCAAGCCCCGCGCTGCCAGTCAAATCCCAGCCAGCCTCTCGGGCTCGATCTCCCGCCACAGACCCCGATGGGCCTCCTCCCACCCCGTGCTGCCACGTGAGCACCTGCACACTTTAACACCTGGGACTGGAGTGATGTTAAACAGACGCGATCTACAGAAAAACAGGGGAATGTCACGTGCAGAACTAACAGCTTCTGTGTAAACAGCGGGCTTGTGGATAAGCTTTATACCTGTCTCCAATGCTATCATGATACCTCATCAGCTAAGAGATAAAAAGCAAGCAGGTAAACTCTGTGTTGTTAGGAATTGGGAAGAGGTTTGAGGCAGCACAAACCACCCAATCCTGGGTGGACAGAGTCCTCACGAGACACACAGCCCCCAAGGACAGCACCTGTCTGTCTGCACTGCCCTGGACTCCCGCGCTCAGAGAAGACTGTCACAGAGGCGGCCTCGGAAAATACACCAGACCAGCAAGCAAACAAGAGAGTGAGTCTGTTCCCCGAGGACAGGAGCAGGCAGCCCTCCAGGAGGGCACCAGGCTCACGCCGGCTCCAGCCCTGGAGCTGGGCCGACAGAAATCCGTACAAGGCTTTCCAATGCCAGAGGCCCCTGCATGGCTGTCTGCTCCCCAGAGAGGGCCACGGAGGCGCGCACACAGCAGCAGCCCCTTCGGGCCCCGGATCGACGCGGGCCACCCTGCCCTGAGTGACATAAGCACCTCATGTCACTGGCAGTCTGAAGCAGAGGTGTGGTGAAGGCGGCCCTAGGAGACATGCTCTAAAAAACAAACTCACAGCTGACTCCTGTTCTCCATTCTCCAAAGAGCCTACACTGCTAATAAGCCTGGAAGGAGCCTTTCTGAACCCCGGTGCACGGACGACGCAGGGGCTGGGGGACGTCCAGAGGCCATCTTTACCTTCAATCGGGACCACGGACGGCTCTTTAATCGAGGGAGAGATGGCACGCTTCTCTGCAACTGCAGCCTCAGCCAGGCGTCCCAGGGCACTCAGTGGGGGCGTGGAGGAGAGTTTGGGGCGCTTGGTGAGCCCGGGCAGGGCTGAGGCACCCGCCAACGCAGCCGCAGCATCGCGCTTCCGCTCCGAGGGCAGGCCGGAAGGGGCAGGCTTCAGCAGGGTAGAGGCTGTTTTCGACTCAGTGGTCTGACCCTTTGAGCCCAGAGCAATGAAGTCTCCTGGTGGAGGGTGACCTGCAGAGGAACACGCACCTTCACACAGCAGCTAGGTGGAAAGGGTGTCGGAGAAGAACTCCAACCTCCCACGATTTCCATGGGGATTCAACTACGGTCAGGGGAGGCGAAAAAACGACACCCAGCAAGTCCACAGCAGTGCTGGGACCAGAGAGTGAGCAACAGCGACCAGTCACACTGGCGCTGACTGCAGACCAGGCCGTTTCCAGCTGATTGGCATCCGTTCCCATCATTCTCAACAAGTTTCTGAAACAAGCATCATTAACCTCACTTTACAGGTTGAGTACCACCAGGCACAGAGAAGTTAAGTAAAGCGCCCGAGGCCACTCAGCTAGGAGGGGCGAAGCGCGGGTTGGCGGCCAGTCTGGCTCCAGCCTGCTGTCAGCCCCTGCGTTTGTGCCGCCCCCTCCGCCCCCCAGGGATGCTGTACATGGCCTCGGACGCGCAGACCAACGAGACGGCCTGGGTCGAGGAGGCGGTGGCTGCGGTCCCAACCCCCCGCCCCGGGACTCCCAGGGCCGCCGGGACCAAGGGCTGCTGTCTGAGACCCCATTCCTGGGAACCGCGTTCGGCTCGGAGAAACAAAGCCGCGACCCGAAGGCGCAGCGCCGCGTGCCGCGAGGGCGCGCACCCGAAGGCTTGGCCGCAGCGCTGGGCCTGCGGACAGCGGTGGGCTTAGCCCGGTTCATCCTGCCCCCGGGCCCTCGCCGCTCCGCGCTGCCGACGCCGCACTAGGGGGAAGACCGACGCTAGTCAGCAGTCCGCCGCTCGCCCATTCATTCCAATCTGGGACTGGGGCCCGGGGCGAACGCTCCGCCCCGCCGCAGGGAGCAACGCCTGAAGCGGCCGCGCGACCCCGCCTTTCCGCCTCGGATCCGGGAAGCTCTATCTCTCCGGCAGAGGCGGCCCAGTCACTTCTAGTGAGATGTACAGGTGCCCATCGCAGCGGCGCCCCGGCACCGCCGCGGCCGCCCCGGAACCAGAAGTCGTCCTCCGAGCCTGACTTCCGGAACACCTGGAAGCAAAACAGCGAGGGGGCGGGGCAGGAGGGATTAGACGAGCGCGCCCGCGATGCCTGCAGCGCCCCCTTGCGGCGGGAGGCCGGTGCAGCCTCCTCGGTGAGGCGGGTTCTGTCACTCGCTCCGGCAGGTGCGGCTGCCCTTAGTGAGTGTCAAGCCCAAGGACACGCCGCTCGGAACGGGGGCCTCGGCCTTTTCCCGTACGTGCTGGGCCTTCAGCGACCTCTCCCACCTGTGGGCCGAAGGGCAGGTGGCGGGGTCCCCTGGGGCGTCTAGGAGGGAGCCGGGCGGCCGGGAGTGGGCGAAGCCGGCACCGGGCAGGGCCTCGGGGTGCCCGCCTGCGCAGCGGGGCCCGCTCGGTGCTGAGGACGTGGGAGCCAGCCACGCGCCGAGGGAGGGTCCACGTCAGACGCTCAGCCTCCTCTTCCTGCGGGTCTCCAGGCCGTCCCCACCTCCTAACCAGGGACGAGGACCGGGTGGACAGCCAGGCTCCACCCGGCCACTTGCAGTGGGCGGACCCCCTTGAAGGCAGAGCAGAGGGTCCCCGCGCGAAGGACGAGGTGACCGTGGGAAGGACGCGGGAGCCACTCACCGACCGAGCGCGTCGGAAAGGCGGCATTGCTGACAAAGGAAACCGGACGTGGGCCGGAGCTGAGAAACGGATTTTATTCAGTAACTGCTGCAGTGGGGGCAGCGCTGAGTTTTGAAAGGCGCAGAGTGGGTGGGCTCAGGTGAAAACCTGCGGATGGTGGTCAGTGTAGACGCACCGGATCAGTTCCCAGCGGCTCTCAGAGTCCGGGGTCTGCCCTCCGAGCCCCGGACGGGCCTTCCGAGGATGGTGGTTGGAGAAAGGGTTGCAATCCTGGAGAGGCTCCTGCAGGGGAAGGGGTCCGGGGGGGCGGGTGCTGGCTGCACAGTCAGTCCTCTTGGCAGCCCTGACGTTGCCTGACAGGAACACACACGGAGGCGGGCGTCCTGGGACGTGGCGTCAGCTAGAAGCCCTGCTGGTCTCGGTCACGTCTCTGAGTGAGAGTGTTTGTGCAGAGGTGGTTTCTTGTTTGTTTTTTAAAATTAAGTTTGTGCCTGTGCTGGGTCTTCGTTGCAGTGTGGGCTTCCCTCCAGCTGCGGTGTGTGGGGGCTTCCCTACTCTTTTGGGGTTTTGGGGTGCGAGTGGCTCACTTCAGTGGCTTCTTTTGACAAAGAGCACGGGCTTCTGAGCACAGGGGCTTCAGAAATTGCAGTCCAGAGGCTTAGTTGCTCCATGGGATGGGGGGTCTTCCCAGACCAGGGGCCGAGCCCATGTCCCCTGCACTGGCACGCGGATTCTTCTCCACTGCACCGCCAGGGAACCCCCTGAGCAGAGATGGCGTGTGGTTCTCACAACCCAGCCCCAGCCCGAGAGGGGCCTTCCCTGACCCCGCCAGCCCTGCCCCTGCTCCCCCGGCCTCTGATGCCCACCTGGGGCAAGGTGGGCCGTGGTCACTCTTCCCTCTGCGGTGACAACATCAGTTGCAGTTGGGGTGTTGAGGTTGTAGGCCAAGGGTCCAAAGGTTCCCAGGGGCGTCTGCAGGAAGGACCGCTCTCTAGGGACCCTCAGCGCCAGAGAGGCTGCCCTCGAGCCCCCTGGACGGGGCCAGGCAAGCCCTAGAAGGCGCCAGGGAGCGGGGGCCGGTCTGCTGAGACCAGGCAGGAGGGCCAAAGGCTCAGCAGAGGCTGCAGGGAGGGCTGGACTCTCTGTTTTGCTCCTTGGAGCTCGTCTGCCCGTTTGGTGAAAGATGAAGGGTGGAACAAGCGAGGGACGCCCAGTGAGGACAGAGGTGCCCACCTCCTGAGAGGGAAGACAGGCGGGGAGGCTGGGCTGGAGGGGCGCTGGGGTGGGTGGACAGCCAGGGGTGCGTTTGGGTGGACAGGTCAAGACATGCCCCGTGTGACGGGGTTGGGGATGGGAGGGGGGCTCCAGAGCAGGGGACACGTGTATACCTACGGCTGATCCGTGCCGGTGTGTGGCAGATACCAATACAGCAGTGTAATTATCCTTCAATTAAGAATAAATTTAAAAAATTGAAACAAAGAAAGAAAACCCCTCTGCATCAGACTCCCAGCGGCCTGCCCAGTGCTCCCCATCAAGCCTGCCCCCGGTGGCACAGGAGAGGCCCCCCTTCTCAAACACCGAGTGGGAGCTGGGCTGCTGCGGACAGTAGGGCTCTAGGAAGACGGCCCAGGGAGCCGTCATGCCAAGGCCAGGTTCTGGCAGAGGCTCTGCCAATGCGGGCCTTCCCCCGGGACTGCCAGCCGCCCCCACACCACGTGAACACACAACCATCCTGGGGGTGTCTGGCGACAGCCTGATTCTGTGAGCTGTGCCCGACCTCTGACCCAGCCAGCGCTCCGAGGGTCTGACCGCAAATGTGCAGGAATTGCAACACCAAGCTGATCCTCTCAGAGGCCCCAGGTCCAGCTGCCTGGACCGATCAGCACAGCCACAGGGCGTCCAGACGACGCACTCGTCAGAAGCTGCTGCGGAAGGACCAAGCAGACCTCCTGTGACGGAACAGCCCAATCGGTGGGGAAGGGAAGGAGGCCATCCGTGCGTCAGGAGGCCGGGAGTGACCACGTCTGTGTAACGGTGGAAACGGCCTGGGAAGACGCACACCCAGTGGTCCCCGTGACTACGAGCAGGGCCGGGCTGGGGCGGGGGACAGCGGACAAGCTGTCCTCTGTGCTTCGTTTTCACTGACACGTGAATGGCCCTGACAAGGTTCCCACTTGGGAATGAAGGGCCATGCGCCTGCCCCCCGGGGCTGTCCGGGCTCCTGCCGCGGGGGCCGCCCAGGCCTCCTCTTCTCTCAGTGGACTCAGGGCCCTCCCCAACCCAGCATGACCTCAGCTAGAGAGCGTTCCCTGAATTAGAGCCGCAGAGACCCTGTTTCCTGACAAGGTCCACTCTGCGGGTCCAAGGGGGCATGTGTTTTGGGGTGGCCCGCCCGCCTGCGGCAGCTGCATTCCAAGGACTCCCGCCTAGTCTGCCGCGCCCCCGGACCCCGTCCAGCTCCCCAGCCTTCTTATCTCTGCGTGCGCCAGGCTCCTGTCTCGGGGCCTCCGCCTGCCTGGGCTCTTCCTGCGTCAGAAACCCCAGGCGCTGCCGTCCTCACCCCAGGACTGTGGCCCAGGCCCCCCGCAGCTCCCCTTGGAGCCCCTGCCACCCCGAAATCCTATCGTTCACCTCCTTCTTTAAGGCCTGCCTCCTCCTGCCTCCCCCCAGCAGCACCTCGCTGGCGTGTCCCCTGCCAGGTGAACGCGGGCGGGGTGAGGGGACCGGGTGGGCAGAGCGAGATCACGAGCAGAGGAGCAGTGATGGGCCAGAGCGGGGTTCAGCCTGGACGGACACGTCGGATGGACAAGCCCCAGCCTCTGACCCCCGCAGCCCCAGGTCATCTGGGTGGCGGCCCCGGAGCCCCAGTGAGAGCCCTCGGCCCCCAGACTCCCGACCTAGCGACCGCGTGGCGGGCACGCGCCTCCACCAAGCCCCGGCAGTTCTGCAGGAGGCATCTGGGGGTCTCAGAGCCGAGCGGGCCGGGAGGAGGGGGTCAGAGGTGAGAGGCACCTCCCCTGGGGAGGGGGCAGGGCTGCAGCTGCGTGTGGTCTAACGGCCTCCACGCAGGAAGCAGCTGCCCCAGTCTGGGGCCCTGGGCGCCCCTTGAACTGGGCTCCAGCCCCGGGGGGCAGGATGTCTCCGGCTGAGGTCTCCTCACCCGGGGCAGGGGTCCCCAGCCCAGCCAGGCCTGGCCCAGCCCAGCACTCATGGTGGGGGTGCTGAGAGATGGGTGCCCCCGCGCGACCGTCAGCTCCTAAATCTGGAAGCTGCCTCATCCGCGCTGGTGGCCGGGTCAGCCCTGAGTCAGCGGCCATGGGGACTCTCGGGAATTCCCTCCGCCAACACCGGGGCTGTCAGGGGGCGCAGGGGCCTGCCGTGGGGTGCGGCTGTGATGAGGCCAGCTGGGGAGTGGGTGCCCTGGGCACCCCCCACCCCCTTACCCCCCGCCTGAAACCTCTCTGGGGGCCGGGGGGCTGGGAAGGTGGAGCGGAAGCCCCAGGGAGGCCGCCTCTGGCCGGAGGTGGGAAGCGCCTTCCAACAATGGTCTGAAAATAGAACAGGCAGCTCCCGAGGAAGCTGACCCGTCAGGGGAAGGGGTGGGAGAAGGAAGGATGCCTGGCCCGGAGGGGCCTCAGGCCTCAGTTTCTCCGCTGGCACCGCGCAGGTGTGGGGACGTTCGGCTGAGGAATCAGGCCTGGGGGACAGCCCCCCACGGGAGCGCCTCTCTGAGGGCACACTTCCCACCAGGGATGGGGAAACAGACAGGGGTCCCGTGTCGGCCGGCACCCCCTCCCGCGCAGTGAGGGCTGGCACCCACCCACCCCAGCACCCAGGACCAGGCTCAGTGCCTCTGGGGACAGGACTGAGCCCGGGCCCACCTCCAGTGGAAACGCCAACCCACTTATGACACGCTGCTTCCACGCCTTCGAGAGCCTGCGAGGCGGCGGGAAGCAAGTGTCAGCCACAGAGAGCAGGGCGGGAGGAGCCGGGTGCCCCGGAACGGGGGCGGGGGGCGGGGGGCTGGACCCTTCTGCCTGCGGAACCCTGGAGCCCCAGGGAACACCGCTGGGGAACCAGGGCAAGTGGACTAGGCAGCAGGGACCCCAGGCCCAGCCCGACCCTCCTGACCTGTGCTTCGCCGGGTTCCCGGCTCCCGGAACGGTGGAGGCTGAGCACCTCCACTGTGGCTGGGAAGCCCCAGGGGCACCTCGAGGGCCAGTCAGCAATGGTGGGGAGAAGAGGTCAGGGGTCAAGGGCATGGGGCTGGCAGGGCTGGGTCACCGGTGTCCGGGCCAACATCACGGGACGGGGGGCGGCCTGGGTGGGAGGGCTCCTCCAGGCCTGCACTGCCCTGCTCAGC